CATCCCAGAACTCCCTCGCTTTCCGCCAATCTCCAGACTTCACCGCATCCTGCACCACGTCCCTGGATTTCAACATGAACTCTACCCCGTTCGGGATCTGCGGATTGTCGTACCAGTAATCCCCAAAATCCCCATAGTGCCTGTACTTCGCCACCCAGCGTTCGTACGTCGGTGTTGGGTAATGCAAGATCATCACTTCATCCGCTGAAGGCTCGTACAGCGGGCCTCTATAGCCTTTGAAAGAATGAGGTCCATCCGGTGCTGCGCGGTGGGTGAGGCGAACTGCGCTTTTACCGTTGCCGTACGCCATAAAGCGCCGCCGCGAGTTGGCGTCGCCGTTGATGCGGAACCAGTTGCAGTCTCTGAATGCGTTCTCGGAGGTCGTATTTAGGGGGAGTGCTTCGTGGTTCGTGAAGCGTACGCTACCTACGTCCTGGCGGCGACTCCAGCTCTCTGCGGTCTCGCCACCGGGCTCATACAGAAGTTCATCGCTGTCGATGTGGAGGAGCCAGGCGTAGTCGTGATCTAGCAGGTACGCGATGCCGTCCTTGACATTCTCCTGCTGCCGCATCAATATGCGACTTTCGGGCGACATTTCGGGCGAGACCTGGGAGCCATTGCATAGTAAGATCTGCCGCCGGTCGCCACGAAGTCGTTCAAGGTCTTCGCGTGTGTTGTCTGGATCGTCCATGTATATGAGAATGAGCTGGACCCGGCGCAAGTGGTGATCCAGCCATGAGGAGAATGAGGCGTCCGGTCGAAGAATGGTAGTCGTGATGGCTATGGGCATGGCCTGCTGCTCGTTATGTTCATTTTGCTTGAAGATGTAGGTGAGACTGTACCAGAACAGAAGAGGCAAGAGTATGTATGGGAGCATTCGACTCATCCTCCAGCGTGGTCGGTTAGGGGCAGTCTACCATTACTGCACGCACCGGCTGCTGCAGTTTCTGATCGTGGCCTTTCTCAACAGTAGTTGGGCACTTCGAAGCTGCAACAACCACGACCATCGCGTGCTCGAGCCAACAACTGAGAGATTTCGAGGGAGAGTAAGATAGTTTCATGAGTGAGGCTCAACTGCGGCCTGAAACGACCCCACAGACCCCTGTACCTTCCTAACGAAGTCAACAACAACAACAACACTGCCCGCAACCCGTTTTGTTCCTGCCTGGCATGCTCCAACTGTAATACCAACAGCAACCTCGTCCCCCAAATTGACCGTCAGTGAATCGGCAATAAGCGCACTCCGGACCGCAACGGGTATTAGGTTGCCTTGCCTCGCCGAACACCCACCACCAGGCACGTACACCATGGCGAGCCAGTATACCGCCTTCCTCAACAATCCGACCGCCGCCCACCTCGCCGCCGACGCGTCGCTGGTCTACATCACCACCACCACCGAGATCAAGGAGGCCAATGCGATCATCAAGCACCTCCAGGCGCAGCAGAAGCAGACCGCTAAGAAGGCCGAGAAGATCCTCAATGTGATCGCTAGCCAAGATGGGGCCTGCCTGGAGACCGAGATCACGCTCCAGTTCAAGGCTGGCGGCGGCGCATACCTCCCTGGCATGGACGAGAACCTGCTTGATGAGAAGATGGTCACCTTCCCGTTGACACACATCGTGCGCTTCGATGCAGAGCAGAAGATCAAGCAGATCCGCCTGTACTGGGATCAAGGCACAATGCTGAAGCAGGTCGAGGCGATTGGCAAGACGGGTCGTAACTGGCCGATCAAAGACGGGCAGGCGCAGGTCAATTCCATAAACAGGAGTCTGAACGCTGGTGGCCGCAACACTGACCTCAACGGCTCCGCGCCAGCACAACGTGGCCCGCATGACGTTGTGATTCAAGGGCACAAGAAGCGCGACAGCGTGAGCGCAGTCAAAGATCCACACGCAAGTCTCGCCTTGTTCGCGCCCCGTGACCCGAACGAGGACTCAGGCCCTCGCCAATTCGAAGGTCCGAAGACTGCGCCTCGCGAAAGCTACAAGGCACCACATCGCGGTCTGGACGACATCCTATCCGGCGAGGAGATCGCGCAGACCGGCTCCACGATCCGCAGCCCTTCACCCGTCAAGACCGATGGCTTCTACCCGAAAGCGGGCGCCGGCAAGCACCACGTCAACAACCGGCTGTTCGACGAGAATGAGCCGTCCAGTCCGCCTCGCTCGCCTGAACGCAAAAAAGTGTTCAAGGACAAGAACAACCACTTCGAGTTCGGTGACGGCGAGGACGCAGCCGAGCAGGATCGTCCGATGAGTGCCCGGGGTAGCAAGAAGGTGCCGACGCAGATCGACTTTGCTTCCTTCAGCGTATCTCCGAGCGTCAAGGACAAGACGAGGCCGGATTATGATCGTCATTGGGGTGATGGTGTGCAGCCGGTAAGCGTGCTTTCATATCACGACATCGGCACCACTGACACTCTCCAGAATGATCCTTCGCCTGTCAAGCGCCCGATCAAGCACGCTCCACGCGTAGAAAATGAGAGTCACTTCTCGATCGCTAACTCCTCCCCAGCAGCGGCGCACGAAAAATCGAAGTCGCTGCAGCGTCAGAAAGGCATGGGTCTGTACCAGGATCCTCTCCACGCTGATGAGCGCACCGCTGTCCGCCCCGTCACCGAAACGAACAAAATGCGCCGTGGCGATGACTTCGCACCGCACCACACCATGGGAGACGCCACGCCTTCCGCGGCCGACAAAGCGAAGGAATTTCTCAGCAAAAACGCCGGCTCTAACATGTCTGCCCACACGCGCGGAGATTTGGACTCGAGCTGGGACTTTGGCACGCCGGTGCAGGAGAAGAAGGTGCGTCATTTGACCCGCATTCAAACTCGGTCTTGAGACACTTACTGATATATTTGGCAGATCTACAAGACGGCAGGCAACGGCATGGGCGGGCGTAAGGACTCGTCGCTGCTCTGGGGCTTCGGTGACGAGAGTGATCCCGAGGAAAAAGAGGCTAACATTGCCCGTGATAGACGAGGGCGAGGCGGGCAGCGGCAGCAAGCGAAGGCGGGTGCTGGAGAGTACTGAAGTGACCGACTGTGGCGAGCACGACGAGCATATGCAGGTGATCGGGGAGCGCCATAGCGTGACGTACTGGCCGATAGGGGATGGGCATGAGATTGTGTTGATGGATGATGGCTGCCGCGGCGATAGTGTTACGGCGAACGATGAAGTGGTGCTGCAAGCGATAAGCGGCAATGGGACCAAGAAGCAGGCGGGTGTGAATGAGCGCGCGAAGCATTTCTTGGAGTAGGAGAGCATGGAGTCCGAGCTGCCCATCTCCGACAACGACGCTCAGACATGGGAGATGATCAGGCATTCGAGAGTCAAAGGCGTCGGGCGAGTCTAGAGTGAGTATGGTCGGATGTGAAGCATCAACGGGGATGGCGGTTTGTTGGCATACTCTTGGAAGGTGGAACGATGGTGGCACTGAATGTGCGGCGTTGCATGCATACCTGGCGGCATAAGTTTGCACGATATGGCGAACGAGACGGACGGATCGGCAGTGACCAGAATTATACTGCATAGCCCGTAGTTCGATATGACAGTCGTGTATCCTGCTATTTGCGATGGGGCCTGATCATCGTTCTGTCGTTGTCTCCGAAACCCGGCCTTGGCAAGCTCGTTCCTTCCCCTGTAGTCAGTCAAATCTTCAACGTACACTTGGACCTTCCTCTTAAGCAGACCATTGACGTCTCGCGCTCTCGAGTACCGTGTACAATCTGACATCATGGGCGACCACGACACCTTCCGTGCACTCCCCGCCATCGCGCGCGCAGGCACCGGGATAGCCAACATTGCGCCAGCGCGCTCACGCACCGATCCCCCTGCAGCGACGCAACCGTCGGAGCACAGCCACCTGCACAAGCGCTTGCACTCCAACACCATCACTGGACGCGTGTCACACCATCGACACCGCAGCCGCGCGAAAGAAACAGTACAGTCTGCGATCGACCTCGTGCCCCCCATCAGCTTCGACCACCTTCTCCGCCGTGATAGGAGGAGTCCCGACTCCAGCAGGAGAGGCAGCGCCACACCACAGCAGCAGCGCGAGGAAGCCGAATGGCGGTCGCAGCAGCAAGCAGCGCAGGCGCAGGCGGAGAGGGAAGCGCGGGCGAGGGTGAAGCCCGAGCATGTCGCGAAGGCTAGAGCGGAGAATGCGAAGCGCGAGGAGGAGCTGCGGCGGAGTCTGAAGCACGTGGAGGAGCTGGGCATGAGTAACACGCGGCAGCTGGACGACACGTACTATGCTATACTGGAGAAGGCGGCGATCCTGCGGTCTACGGTGGCTAGCTTGCAGGCCTTGGCGGAGGAGAGCAGGAAGATGCGGGGGCATTTTGACGAGGATGCGAAGAAGTTGGAGGAGGATACTTTGCGGACGCTTGATGGGTTCGGGGGTTTCGACGAGCAGGAACGCACGATCGATGAGTTGGTGGAGAAGCTGAAGCGGAGTAAGAGTGATACTGCGAAGCTGAACGAGCGGCTGGAGTCGGCGAGGGAGCGGGTGGCGGCATTTGAGAGGAGGGAGAAGGAGAAGCGGAGTAAGCGACGAAAGCAGTGGCATGCGACGTGGGGGACGCTGGTGGGCGTGTTGGTGCTGATTATTGCCGTGTTGGTGTTCAAGAATCGTTGGCATATCGTGGAAGACTTCAATCTGACTGGCGAGCTGGCAGAGGGGGTGGGAGCGATACGAATACCAGACGTGTTACAGGCGAAACCCAGACCGAGCGAGGATCCGTATTTACATCAGCTATTCGATGGTCTGTAGCATCGGATGCTAGCAACGAGTGACAAGGAGCCCCTCGGTTCTCACTTGGAAGTGGGTACACCTCTGATATTCCCACCCCGCAACCAGAGTTCAAGTTGCATGGAAGTCGTGCAATAGCGTCAGGAATGAGAATAAGTGCTCAAGCGAATTCGAAACGTATTGTCGGTGTACGATAGACAGTACATACGGTGGTAAATGAGTAGCATGCCACCAAAAAATTGCAAAAATGAGCTACGCAGGGCTCGAACCTGCAGCCTCCTGATTGACTCCGTGATTATCGTAGTCAGGCACTCTACCATTGAGCCAGCAGCCCTCTTTGATTTCAGTCTTGATTCAAAATATATATATATTAGCCGCAAAATTTGGCTGATGATTCACCTCGGGTCTTAGCCCTATTGAAAGCACCAAGCGCTCCCATGACTCGTCCTACGAAGGCTTGATTCTGACAGCGATTCTACATCCTTTGCGGATCAAGCAGCCATTTGCAGAGCACTGAGGCAAGGCGACGCGATCGGGGAGAGGTTAATTAATGGGTAGAAGCAGGCGTGAGCCCTATTCATGCGTAATGCATAAATCGCCTCCCTCCCAGAGCTCGATATGGGCTCAGAAATCGTTCTCCTCCGGCAACCGCTCCGTCTGCGATCCCACTACAGACTCCAAGCCTAACTACACAGGCATATATGCATGCGCACCAGCTTTCTCGCCTTCCAGCTCGGATGGATGGGCTTCCATCTCATGCACAATACTAATCCCTGCTTCGTAAGGCCGTCCGTCTCCATGCAGCTCTCTGGTCGGGACACCATCCTTCTCATAGCTATCGCAGGGAGTGGCGTGGATGCAAGCTTAGTAAGCCACGTCGTGGCACGATCGAGATGACCTTGGATCGGCTGCTTTTGGTACCGCTGTTGCCTCAGTGTGTGGCAGACGTATAGGCCTTGCTGCTGGCGAACAGGCGCGTGGTGGTCGCTCTTCCGAGGGCTGACACGAACCTCTTTGGTGCTGCCGTTCCTGTTGAGTGCTGCAAGTCTACCTTAGTCGTCAGCGTTGTCGCCGTCCTGCCTTCCTGCGAGGAGTCGGTCGTAGGCACGCTAGCTCGCCGCAGGTAGACCCGGCAAAGTTCTGCAGAAGCATTGAAATACCGCCCGCGGATGCTGATGAAATGTTTCAAATGCCGTAATGTGAAATACTTGAGACGCGGCCGGCAGATGCGTCGATGTTGGTACCTACGGAGATGTCGCTGGCGAGAGACATGGTGTATAGTGAGACGCTTGCGCTGCTCGTGGATCGTGAGTCTTGTTGCGTCGAATGCATTCCGAGGCCGCGTGATGGCACGTACTGCCTGTCCTTGAGGGAAGAGTGAAGTGCAGCGCTGTAGAAGGAAAGCGCTCGTACGGAGCTGGGTGTATGCCTGTTTGGCGGATTGCGATTCACTTACCCACCCAGTAGGGAGCGATTCCTTCGAGTGAAGCGAACTCCAGAGCGTCGACTGACGAAGCGAGGAAGCTCGTACGATAGTGAGCGGCTTGAGCGTGGTATCCACGAAGCTTGCGTTTGATAGGCAGCTGTTATACTGCTGATCATCTAAATGAGGCAAGACTGGTATCAGGATGATCGAGCGAACAGTCCCCCGGACTCCGGATAGCATTGACGGTGTCAAAGACCGAGAATAGCCTGACGTCTTGAACTGAATCGTGGTCACTGCGAACGTGCCGAGATTCCGACAAAGACCCGTAGGAAAGAAGGTAGGTGTTGATGATACATAGGCGCCTGAAGTGGTCCTGGACTTCCGATCAATATGGATAGCGTTTAACACCTTGCTATGTCAATACCATGTCGTCGCTGTACATTCTCTCACATCAATTCGCACAACAGTCTTCTGCTCCAGCCGCCGGCCGTGTTCGCCCGTCTCACTTGGCATGGCCATTGGCCTTCGCGCTGCCGTTGATACCCTTCTTGGCAATCATCTCCGCCTTCACCCTCTCAATCTCCTTCTGTACACTCTGGTCCAGTCTCGCCTTCAGCTCCGGTCGGTACCCGAACGCGAACAGCACCTCCATCCACACGAAAAAGGGCGCTAGAAAGATGGCCTGGACCAAATTATCCAGCAAAGCCGGTGCTCTCCCTTCGAAGACCCCATGGCCGACGAATTGTGCCAGCCAGGAGAGGATATGTACGCCGATGGCGATGTAGTTGGCTTTCATGCCGTAAGTCGATGTCAGGTGGTTCGCGTAAGCTGTGCCGCCTAGCAGTAGAGGGGCAAGCATGCCACCGGCTACAGGTTCCATGAGGATGTAGAGGCTGCTGTATATTAAGCAGGCGATAGTTCCAGCGTTGGCTGGGAGGTTTGGTATGGTCATCCATGTGGGTAGTGGGATTGCTGGGGTGTTGGTGCCCTTGTGGATTGTCAGATGGGATCGTGGTAGACTTTTACTCGAGCAAGAGCTGCGTACGAAGAGGAAGCCGGTGAGGAGCAATATAGGCACACAGGTGATGTGGATGCCGATGTTGACCTAGAGGTGGCGAATGGTCAGACGGGAGTGGTTCGTTGGTGTCCGGGACGGCAGTACCGGATCATGATGGTATGAGCCATACTGGAGCCATGTCAGCGAAGACCGGTTCTCACGGCGTGTAGCAACCTACAAACAACAGCTGCTTCTCGAGATTCAGGGCCATGTTTGCGGAATGGACGGCTTGGCGTGGTGGAAGTATCAGGAGGGCCGGGAGCTGTCGTTTCTTCTGCCACCGTAAAGCACACGCATCGAGCCCACGAAGAGGAGCAAGCGCAGCACAGTCAACGTGTTGTTGCGTGGCCTTGGTGAGTTCTACATGTAGTTCAGTTCCTTCGTAAGACGCCCTGTCCCGCGATCCCGTGACCCGATGCCTCCCGGATCGGACGAAATCGGCGGCGGACCGAAGGGGTTTAGTGCGACTCTTCCCTTTGCTCTGTCAAGCTCCTCACCTCCAGCAGCACACCCCATCAACGACCACCCTCTCCCTTCACGAACCATCACCTGTCGCTTTGGGAGCGGCCATCTATACTTCACACCTTCCCGCGTCTCATCATCATGTCCATGTTCAGGACGGCGCTCCGCAGCAGCGCCCGCGCGGCCGGTGCGCTGTCTGCCAGCAGCAGAATTGCTTCGGTACGTACGGCACCTACATCGCGGCGATAGAGCTTCAACGGCGCACACAACCGGCGGCCTACAGCTCAATGGCATATACACTCACGCTCGACGCCTTTTTGAGCCGTGTTCGGAGCTCCTGGGGAGCTGCCCAGCAATGGCGAGCCCTTCCGAGGTGGCTTCAGGGACAGCGCGCTAACGTCACGCTTTTCCATTGCAGCAACGAACCACACCCGCCATCGTCAACACCGTCACCCGCAGCTATGCCGCCGATGCGAAAGCGTCACCAACTGAGGTCTCCTCCATTCTCGAGCAGAGGATCCGTGGTGTGCAGGAAGAGGCTGGTTTGGCCGAGACGGGCCGTGTCCTGTCTGTCGGGTAGGGGCAATCAATATCATACTGCCAATACGAGCACGTGGCTAACATGTGGCAAAGTGACGGTATTGCGCGTGTACACGGCATGAACAATGTCCAGGCCGAGGAGCTGGTCGAGTACGTGTACCCGCGCAGACGCCCACAACAACATGAGACTAACAGGATGCTAGGTTCGCGTCCGGCGTCAAGGGCATGTGCATGAACCTCGAAGCCGGCCAGGTCGGTGTGGTGCTTTTCGGTTCCGACAGAGCTGTCAAGGAAGGCGAGACCGTCAAGCGTACCGGCCAGATTGTAAGCACTACTACTCTGACAGCACCCCGCATATGAGTCTAACATCCCTAGGTCGATGTGCCTGTCGGCCCCGGTCTTCTTGGTCGCGTGGTCAACGCTTTGGGCGAGCCCATTGACGGCAAGGGGCCGATCAAGTCCGAAGAGAACCGCCGTGCCCAGGTCAAGGCTCCCGGTATCCTGCCTCGCCACTCCGTCAACCAGCCCGTGCAGACTGGTCTCAAGTCCATCGACGCCATGGTGCCCATCGGCCGTGGTCAGCGTGAGCTCATCATTGGTGATCGTCAAACCGGAAAGACTGCCGTCGCCCTTGACGCCATGCTGAACCAGAAGAGGTGGAACGACGGCAACGACGAGACCAAGAAGCTCTACTGTGTCTACGTTGCCGTTGGCCAGAAGCGGTCTACGGTAGCCCAGCTTGTGCAGACGCTTGAGCAGCAGGATGCCATGAAGTACACCATCATCGTCGCCGCCACTGCCTCCGAGGCCGCGCCGCTGCAGTACGTACAACATGATCTACTACTTTGCCAATCCTGTAACTGACGGAATCATAGATATATCGCTCCCTTCACTGCTTGCTCTATGGGTACGTACCTTCCCTTATACACCATATCCTTCACATCTCGTCTGCCATTAACCAGCATCTGACAAATAACCAGGTGAATGGTTCCGCGACAACGGCAAGCACGCCGTCATCATCTACGACGATCTGTCCAAGCAGGCCGTTGCCTACCGTCAAATGTCCCTGCTGCTCCGTCGTCCTCCCGGGCGTGAGGCCTACCCCGGCGAGTAAGTTATATCAGACCGAAGCAAGCTAGTGAACTCACGCTGACTGTCCGCAGTGTGTTCTACCTCCACTCCCGTCTCCTTGAGCGTGCTGCCAAGATGAGCGATAAGCACGGTGGTGGTTCGCTCACCGCCCTTCCCATCATCGAGACCCAGGGTGGTGATGTGTCCGCCTACATCCCCACCAACGTCATCTCCATCACCGACGGCCAGATCTTCTTGGAAGCCGAGCTCTTCTACAAGGGTGTCCGCCCGGCCATCAACGTCGGTCTCTCCGTGTCCCGTGTCGGCTCCGCCGCCCAGCTCAAGGCCATGAAGCAAGTCGCCGGTTCCCTCAAGCTCTTCTTGGCGCAATACCGTGAAGTGGCCGCTTTCGCACAGTTCGGCTCCGATCTCGATGCCGCGACCAAGCAGACGCTGAGCCGTGGTGAGCGCCTGACGGAGCTGCTCAAGCAGAAGCAGTACTCGCCCATGGCCGTCAACGAGATGGTGCCCCTGATCTTCGCGGGTGTCAACGGTCACTTGGACAGCGTGCCGGTGGACAAGATCCTGACGTGGGAGGCGGACTACCTGAACAACCTCCGGACGAACGAGCAGGATCTGATGGCGCAGATTGAGAAGGACGGTGCGTTGAGCAAGGAGTTGGAGGCCAAGTTGAAGGAGAGTGTGGTCAGCTTCACCAAGAACTTCTCCGCTTGAGCGAGAGGGGGTGACGGATGAGTGAGGAGCGCGGGGGGAGGTG